GTCGCACTGACACCGTCCCCGTTGCCCTTGCTTTCTCTCAAGCTTCGGACAACTTGTTGCTGTTACGAGCAACCGTCTGGCGGCGTGCGAAATTCTTCGACGCCCCAGAGTCAATCAAGATTCTAAAGGGATGATCGTATCCCCGTACACATCCGTGTACTGCGAGCAACCCGCCGCTGCTCTTCGCCGATTCGAGAGTGCGAAGACTCTCAGGGGCTAAGTCCCCGTGGTACGCGCCACCCGCGCACCCATTACGAAGACTTAGTTCTTCCCCAGTAGGCCGCCCTGCCCCTACTGGTTCCCTGCGTTCCCCTGTTCCCGGGATCCTGGCTTCTGCCAGCGACCCTTGAGGAAGGGCTTGGGGAAGGACCGTCTGCGGAGTCTTTCCGCGGGACAGTCGCGCTTGAAATGGTCCATCTTCCCACAGCCGAAGCAGCGGATGTCACGCTGTTCGGCGGACCCGAGTTCTATGGGAACTGGTCCGTTGGGGCTTGTTCGACCGGGAGCCGACAAGGAGCTCCCAGGCCACGCTGAGGCCGGAGTACGCGCCTGGCGATGGCTGTACTCTTCTTGAAGAGCCACTTGAATCGCCTCTTCAAGGGTGCTTGCCTGCACCCGGAACAGCTGAGTGCGTGCGGGGCCCACTCGAAGGCCGTCCATGAACACAGTCATCTTGATGTGTTCATTGAGTGGGTTTCCCACTACGGACGCCGTGAGCTCCCGTATCTCTTGCACATACTCGTGCAGTTCGCGCCTTCCTTGTTTACACGCGAGGAAGCGCGAACGCTGGCGGTACTCGTAGTTCGCCGGGAGGAACGCGGCTCGGAGCTGTTCGCACAGCTGAGCCCAGGATGTGAAACATCCAGGGGATGTTGCTTCCCGAGTGTACACCCAACTCTTAGCACGACCGCTAAGGTTGGAGAGTGCAAAAGCAACACGCAGTTGCTCGGTCGAGATCAGAGCCGCGTCCATCGCGAGCTCTACTTCTCGGACCCAGAAGTGAAGGTTCTCGCCTTCCTTCCCTTCATACGGCTTTACCTTCAGCCGTATTGGCTTCGGGTGAGGCGGATTTGCTTCCGCCGCCGGAGCCTGCAGGTTCTCCCGCACATGCGCGATGAGGCCCTGCTCGTACGCGTCGAATGCATTGACGCGCTCGAGCTGCTCAGCCGGTGTTGACACCATCAGGCTCTGCAGGGCCTCCATCCCGAAGATGCCTGCCATCTTCCGAACCGACTCGAACTGAGAGTCGTTCAAATGGGAGAAGTCGTTCCTATCCATGGCAACGAACTTCGGAGGTTCAGGTAGTCTACCCGCGATGGCGTGGATTGACTACAAGTGCTACTAAGTGTGACAAGGTCACACAGCACCTTGCGCAAGAGGATGTTATATTCCGAGAGTATACAAACTCTCAGTGAACGGCAGTTCACAGGTCCCCTCGTTTATTAAAGAGAGCGAAGTGACCTAAATAAGGTAGATTGTAAACTGAGTATATTTATAGGTAGGTTAAGTTTGGGTTAATACAAACTATTAGTTACCTATAGAAATGCAATGTCATTTAACCAATGGTTGGCTTTGAACGACCTTGGTACCTTGTACCAAATATCCCGGAGTATGACGTGTCATACTCCTGAAGTGTGAAGTGTCACACTTCATGTAACCAGGGTACACTTAGGGCTACGTACCCCGTTACACATCCCCCCAGATCGGCCCTGCTTGGACTGACCGCTCGTGTTGCTGCCAGTATCCGTGGCGGAATCCACCCATTCCTCGTCGCTGAGCGCTCCCGTTGACGCAGCTGACGCCTCGTCGGCGTCGGCGTCGGTCTCGACACACAAGTTGCGGCGCTGGGGACGTCTCACCGCAGTCTTCACCCGACGATCTTCCGGCATTTTGCCCCTTTTTGCATGGAATGAGTGGCGGGGTGGCGGGTACACACCGGAGTATACGCTATACTCCGGCCGGATAGATGTGAAAAACCGAGCGTCTCTTTTATTCGCCCGAGTTGGGCGCACGACACACTCTCTTTTACATTTTACAGTAATTTACATTGCTACCAAACTCACAGCAACACTGCGAAGGAATCCTCCTACGTTCGGAAGCTCATTAGACACCAAGTAGGGGCTAAGTTTCTCCAGCGCTGCCAGTCCCGACTGCTTTTGAGTATCGTCACCCGTTTCCACAAGTATTTTCCAGAAGTGGCACAGCTCCGTCGCGAACGATCACTTGACAATTGTCTTCGTCACTGCTCGCGAGTTTCCGTAGAGCTGCTGCAGCATTCGCTTTCTGATCTGTCGTCCCGGAACGCAGCAATTTCATCAACGGTGTGATGACTTCTTCACTTGGGAACACAATTTTACTATTCATGTCGTCAGCTCTGGCCACGTTCCCAAGTGCTCGCAGAGCTTGAGTCTTCTGCTCGTCGCCTCCCGACAGAGTCAGCGCCACAAGCGGCCGTAAACCTCCTTCGTTCACGATCGCAGCACGGTTCGCATCACTGTTGAGAGCGATGCAGCCCAGCGCATACGCTGCCCATTGTTTCTGGTCGCTGGTCCCAACTCGAAGAAGCTCGATCAAAGGTGCGATGGCTCCATCTCGCCCAATCTCGTGGCGGTTGTCGTCGCTACTCGCAGCTAAATTGCCCAGAGTGTAGGCGGCCTCTTGTTTCTGCGCGTCGGACCCGGTTCGAACGAGATCCGCGAGCGGCAGAATCGCGTCGTCCAGCTCGATCGCGTCAGCAATGGCTTCGTTATCACACGCCAAGTTTCCCAGAGCATACGAACTCCACTGCTTCTGAGCCTCCGTCCCAGTCTGCAACAGGTTGACAAGAGGTGGGATGGCTCCTTCCGGCGTGATCTTGACGCGGTTGTCGTCGTTGTACGCGAGGTTGCCCAGAGTGTAGGCGGACCACTGCTTCTGAGCACTCGAACCCGATTGAGTCAAGGAAACCAGTGGCGGAATGGCTCCTTCCTGGGCGATTGCAACGCGGTTGGCCTCGTTATTCAGCGACAGCGCTCCGAGAGCGTACACTGCCCATTGGTTCTGAGCGTCCGTCACCGCTTTCACGAAGCCAACGAGTGGGGGGATGGCTCCTTCTCGGGAGATCGTAGCTCGGTTCTCGTCGTTATCAGCTGCCAAGTTCCCGAGAGCGTACGCTGCCTCCTGTTTCTGCATGTCTGTTCCGGAACGCAGCAGCGTCACTAGAGGCGGGATGGCTCCTTCTTTAGCAATCGCCACGCAGTTGTCGTCGTTGTTGCTGGCCATCGTCCCCAACGTCTCCGCCGACCAAAGTTTCTGGTTGGCTGTTCCATGCAGCAGAAGAGCAACGAGAGGTGACAACACTCCAGCATCCCGCAGTCTTTCTCCTTCTCCACGAGTTGCTAAGCAAGAACAGAGGATCGATGCGTCTTCCTTCCCTTGCTCGTCGCCAAACTGGAGATCTCGTACCAGTGACTGGATCTCTGGCTGGGCAGCTTCTCGAATGCATCCGCGCGGTGCTTCGAACTCGGACTCGCTCATCTTGGAGTAAATGAACGTAAACCAACTCAAACAGTGCAATGCATACAGCTCTGTGTAGAAGCTGTTGCCTTCTCGAATCAAACGAGCAAATAGTCCGATCCCGTCCGATTGATACACTTGCGCTCGACTGTTACTGGTGACGCACTTGCGAATGAGAACTAACAGTGCTTGCTCCTTCTCGGCCGCTTGGCGTGACGCTAGTGTCTCCATTATCAACGGCACAGAGTAATTGTTGATATCAGACGCTGCACTCCGCTTGAGCTCAGGCTTTTGTGCCACCAGCTTTGTCTCTACCTCGTCGTTCTTTCGCTTCTCCACCAGCTGCAGCAGGGCAGCCTGTACCTGTTCGTGTGTGAGTTTGACATCTGTGTGTAGCTTCTCCAACTTGGAGAGGAACTTGGCGGCGTTCTTAGCAGCTGACGCGTTTCCGTTCATGACCGTCACGGAAGTGGCGAGGCCGAGCATCCGGAAGAGCTGGTCGATCTCCGCGACGATGAGTTGACGTTCATTCTCCATCTCGCTGCGCTTGAAAAACCGGAGGAAGCGGTTCAAGTCGTTGTAAGTTTGAAGATATTGTGAGAAATTGTGCACCGCAAGAGCGAACTTCTTGACGGTGGTATTGCGTCGTAGAACGGCGTTGTCTTGAAGGGGTCCTTTGCGCTCCAACAGTTGCAGTTCGACGTGGATCTCGGTCAGTTGTAGGTACGTTTGCCTATTGACTCTGCGTTGGTGGCGAATGGCTTCTCGCAATTCGAAGATCTTGGCGAGGCCCTGGACCACATTGATAGCGGTGCTCATGCCGAATTGAGTTTTTTGTTTTGTTTTGATTTGAGTGCTCGATGGCAATTACAAGAATGACTGGGCTGAGACGTCTGGACGGCAACGGGACCCTGGATCTCGGTGAGACTTGGGCCTGGTTTGACTTGCGTAGCGCGCAGCCCTTCATGGACAGTTGAGTTGCAGCGTGGCTGTCTGTCTCGTCCGACATGATGAGCCGATGCGCTTTGCTTGGCAAACAAAAATTGGTTGCGATGCCTATTTTTCACACATCCATTCCAGCAGCGAAAGTTTGCCTGGGGTGGCTACAGTGCAGCGCGTCGATGTCATTTAACTTGAGAGTGTCCTGCTGCCAGCGCTATGAAGAAACTTGCACTATAGACTATATTTGCAGCATTTGTGACGAGGATGCATCCGCTCTAATGAGAAAGTCTGAAACGAATGTCGACTGCAACGTTTGTTTTATTTTGCTATTTTACTCGCTCTTGTTTTTGCGATTCGCTAATTTGACTGATCAGCCAAAATGTCAAGTTTGCTCATCAACAAATTCACGTGCAATTTAATATTTTGTGTGAGAATTTGACAACCAGGGTGCGCAATTTTTCAGGGAACTCTTCTGGATTTGCTCCGTACGAAGGCTGCAGAGTTCATGTGCCACCCCAGTCAGCTCACTAAGCTGCTTAATTGTCACGAACACACGTGCATTTCGCATATCCGACCGTGGTAAAGCGTCTACTTTGTGTCGTTTCGATATATCGGCGTACACAGGATGTCGGATACCGTTTAGATGGTAGCCTCTTAGGCGTTGGAGTCGTGTCGAGACGCGCCTCATGGTGCCACTTGTACAGTGAGCACGCACTTCACGCTGTAAACCAGAGTAAATCCAATTTACCCAACGCAGGCGAAGTCGAAACCGCCGCGAGCAAAAAATCGTGGGTGGAGGAGTACGCGACGAGCTGCAGCTTGCAACAGGATGCCATTTATCTCACGCACTGAGCCCGTCTGAAGTGAGCTTAAAAGATCCCATTCCGACCATGGTGGAGATCGGATCATCAGCTGCAAGAAAGTTCTTGAATAAAGGGTCCGCTGAGTGGGGGGATTGTGAGATGGGATACATGAGTTCTACACCATTCAGCGTAGCGATGCCTGCTCAGTCTCCGAGTCTGTCGTTTGAGAAGAAACAAGTGTCAGCTGCAAGCGTGTGCTTTGATACGGACTGGCCCTCAGCTCACGTCAACCGAAAATATTCGCAAAAGCTAAGTTTTGCTAGGTAAGCCGAAGGTTACCAAATATTCCGATAGCAGTGACATCCATCTACATGCGACGCCGCTTGAATTCAATGGATGCCAACAAACGTCTACGAAGCAGAAGAACAGGAACTACAACTCGCTAGTCGGGTCTGCTTGGAAACCATACGACTGTCTCAATTTGGAAAGACTAGGCGAGTTTGGACGAACGTCCACTTCAACTTGTACCAGTAATCACCATCACAAATGTTAAAATAAAATCAACCAATCCAATCGTGCGAAATGTTTCCTCTTCTTGCTGAAAGCACAATTTGTACACGCCTTGAGCGCATGAAGGTGGCTACATGGTGAAAGGAGGCAACTGCGGAGCCAATTGCATTCAAGTCTTCGACTTATTGACCCAAGGATCCCGAAGAGGTTGCGTCGTCAAAAGCCAACCTACCTAAGCTTAATAGTAACTAGGCGTAAAGGAATTAGTTCGCGATGATACCGTCGTGCGTGAAGCCACCATGGTAAGGATGCCTTTACGAACATTCCTCAGTGTTTTCCTAATGTCCACCTAGTATTGTTTATAAGAGGTCAATCAATCTAATTTTTAGTACCAAATTGTATTAATGCATTCACTAACAAATGGATACAAGCAAATATGTTTAAAGAGAGAATACCATCCACGTTTTTCTGTGTTCGAAACGAAACTAACGGTAACAGGTATACCAATTAATAGAGGTCTAAAGAAAGAGTTTTCTTTCAGTACGAGTTCTTTTTTATGAGTCGCATAAGAGATAAGAATTTTTCTTTAAGTCGAGTGTCATACCTGAAGAACTCTGATTTACAAAAGTACCGGTAATGGGAACTGTTGAAAACAATTAATTTTATGTAATTTAATATCGCTTCAATACATGTATTGAAGTAACGTTATTTGGTAATTTGCAAGTCAAGGATCCTCATCAAGGTATACACGTTAAGGAAAGCGAGCACACCTTGACAGCCACGTGCGGTAGCATTTATTATAAATGTATAAACAGCAGCAATTGGCGTGACTTTTGAATTTAAATCAGAATTTGCTGCGCCTTCGCCCATGTTCGCAAAGTGCTGCAAACTCGCGTGCCTACAGAGCAATTGACTTGCCCTGGTCTTGTGTGTGCGCTAAAGACATGGACGGCAGTGCTGCGCTTGCTTTGTAGCCACTCGTTTATTTAATCCCGCCAGAAAATTCTTTCACGACAGTTACTGAGAAGAACTTTGTCGTTATAACAATCTGCTTCACATGCCGAAGATCATGCGGAGCATTGCATCTGGTCGGCAGCCGCAGAATTAACAGTGATTCTTGTCGACCCGAAACCGAGAGGTATCATGAGCATTGAATATTACAAATACGTTTGCGAGTTGACCAAAACTTTCAAGGAGCATCATCCTAGTTTTTGATGTCGACCAGCTGCTTTTGACGACGCACACCTCTTCGGGATCCTTGGGTCAATAAGTCGAAGACTTGAATGCAATTGGCTCCGCAGTTGCCTCCTTTCACCATGTAGCCACCTTCATGCGCTCAAGGCGTGTACAAATCGTGCTTTCAGCAAGAAGAGGAAACATTTCGCACGATTGGATTGGTTGATTTTATTTTAACATTTGTGATGGTGATTACTGGTACAAGTTGAAGTGGACGTTCGTCTACGGTCACGTCAATTGTACCAAACTCGCCTAGTCTTTCCAAATTGAGACAGTCGTATGGTTTCCAAGCAGACCCGACTAGCGAGTTGTAGTTCCTGTTCTTCTGCTTCGTAGACGTTTGTTGGCATCCATTGAATTCAAGCGGCGTCGCATGTAGATGGATGTCACTGCTATCGGAATATTTGGTAACCTTCGGCTTACTTAGCAAAACTTAGCTTTTGCGAATATTTTCGGTTGACGTGAGCTGAGGGCCAGTCCGTATCAAAGCACACGCTTGCAGCTGACACTTGTTTCTTCTCAAACGACAGACTCGGAGACTGAGCAGGCATCGCTACGCTGAATGGTGTAGAACTCATGTATCCCATCTCACAATCCCCCCACTCAGCGGACCCTTTATTCAAGAACTTTCTTGCAGCTGATGATCCGATCTCCACCATGGTCGGAATGGGATCTTTTAAGCTCACTTCAGACGGGCTCAGTGCGTGAGATAAATGGCATCCTGTTGCAAGCTGCAGCTCGTCGCGTACTCCTCCACCCACGATTTTTTGCTCGCGGCGGTTTCGACTTCGCCTGCGTTGGGTAAATTGGATTTACTCTGGTTTACAGCGTGAAGTGCGTGCTCACTGTACAAGTGGCACCATGAGGCGCGTCTCGACACGACTCCAACGCCTAAGAGGCTACCATCTAAACGGTATCCGACATCCTGTGTACGCCGATATATCGAAACGACACAAAGTAGACGCTTTACCACGGTCGGATATGCGAAATGCACGTGTGTTCGTGACAATTAAGCAGCTTAGTGAGCTGACTGGGGTGGCACATGAACTCTGCAGCCTTCGTACGGAGCAAATCCAGAAGAGTTCCCTGAAAAATTGCGCACCCTGGTTGTCAAATTCTCACACAAAATATTAAATTGCACGTGAATTTGTTGATGAGCAAACTTGACATTTTGGCTGATCAGTCAAATTAGCGAATCGCAAAAACAAGAGCGAGTAAAATAGCAAATAAAACAAACGTTGCATTCGACATTCGTTTCAGACTATCGGATGCATCCTCGTCACAAATGCTGCAAATATAGTCTATAGTGCAAGTTTCTTCATAGCGCTGGCAGCAGGACACTCTTAAGTTAAATGACATCGACGCGCTGCACTGTAGCCACCCCAGGCAAACTTTCGCTGCTGGAATGGATGTGTGAAAAATAGGCATCGCAACCAATTTTTGTTTGCCAAGCAAAGCGCATCGGCTCATCATGTCGGACGAGACAGACAGCCACGCTGCAACTCAACTGTCCATGAAGGGCTGCGCGCTACGCAAGTCAAACCAGGCCCAAGTCTCACCGAGATCCAGGGTCTCGTTGCCGTCCAGACGTCTCAGCCCAGTCATTCTTGTAATTGCCATCGAGCACTCAAATCAAAACAAAACAAAAAACTCAATTCGGCATGAGCACCGCTATCAATGTGGTCCAGGGCCTCGCCAAGATCTTCGAATTGCGAGAAGCCATTCGCCACCAACGCAGAGTCAATAGGCAAACGTACCTACAACTGACCGAGATCCACGTCGAGCTCCAACTGTTGGAGCGCAAAGGACCCCTTCAAGACAACGCCGTTCTACGACGCAATACCACCGTCAAGAAGTTCGCTCTTGCGGTGCACAATTTCTCACAATATCTTCAAACTTACAACGACTTGAACCGCTTCCTCCGGTTTTTCAAGCGCAGCGAGATGGAGAATGAACGTCAACTCATCGTCGCGGAGATCGACCAGCTCTTCCGGATGCTCGGCCTCGCCACTTCCGTGACGGTCATGAACGGAAACGCGTCAGCTGCTAAGAACGCCGCCAAGTTCCTCTCCAAGTTGGAGAAGCTACACACAGATGTCAAACTCACACACGAACAGGTACAGGCTGCCCTGCTGCAGCTGGTGGAGAAGCGAAAGAACGACGAGGTAGAGACAAAGCTAGTGGCACAAAAGCCTGAGCTCAAGCGGAGTGCAGCGTCTGACATCAACGATTACTCTGTGCCGTTGATAATGGAGACACTAGCGTCACGCCAAGCGGCCGAGAAGGAGCAAGCACTGTTAGTTCTCATTCGCAAGTGCGTCACCAGTAACAGTCGAGCGCAAGTGTATCAATCGGACGGGATCGGACTATTTGCTCGTTTGATTCGAGAAGGCAACAGCTTCTACACAGAGCTGTATGCATTGCACTGTTTGAGTTGGTTTACGTTCATTTACTCCAAGATGAGCGAGTCCGAGTTCGAAGCACTGCGCGGATGCATTCGAGAAGCTGCCCAGCCAGAGATCCAGTCACTGGTACGAGATCTCCAGTTTGGCGACGAGCAAGGGAAGGAAGACGCATCGATCCTCTGTTCTTGCTTAGCAACTCGTGGAGAAGGAGAAAGACTGCGGGATGCTGGAGTGTTGTCACCTCTCGTTGCTCTTCTGCTGCATGGAACAGCCAACCAGAAACTTTGGTCGGCGGAGACGTTGGGGACGATGGCCAGCAACAACGACGACAACTGCGTGGCGATTGCTAAAGAAGGAGCCATCCCGCCTCTAGTGACGCTGCTGCGTTCCGGAACAGACATGCAGAAACAGGAGGCAGCGTACGCTCTCGGGAACTTGGCAGCTGATAACGACGAGAACCGAGCTACGATCTCCCGAGAAGGAGCCATCCCCCCACTCGTAGGCTTCGTGAAAGCGGTGACGGACGCTCAGAACCAATGGGCAGTGTACGCTCTCGGAGCGCTGTCGCTGAATAACGAGGCCAACCGCGTTGCAATCGCCCAGGAAGGAGCCATTCCGCCACTGGTTTCCTTGACTCAATCGGGTTCGAGTGCTCAGAAGCAGTGGTCCGCCTACACTCTGGGCAACCTCGCGTACAACGACGACAACCGCGTCAAGATCACGCTGGAAGGAGCCATCCCACCTCTTGTCAACCTGTTGCAGACTGGGACGGAGGCTCAGAAGCAGTGGAGTTCGTATGCTCTGGGAAACTTGGCGTGTGATAACGAAGCCATTGCTGACGCGATCGAGCTGGACGACGCGATTCTGCCGCTCGTGGATCTCGTTCGAACCGGGTCCGACGCGCAGAAACAAGAGGCCGCCTACACTCTGGGCAATTTAGCTGCGAGTAGCGACGACAACCGCCACGAGATTGGGCGAGATGGAGCCATCGCACCTTTGATCGAGCTTCTTCGAGTTGGCACCAGCGACCAGAAACAATGGGCAGCGTATGCGCTGGGCTGCATCGCCCTCAACAGTGATGCGAACCGTGCTGCGATCGTGAACGAAGGAGGTTTACGATTGCTTGTGGCGCTGACTCTGTCGGGAGGCGACGAGCAGAAGACTCAAGCTCTGCGAGCACTTGGGAACGTGGCCAGAGCTGACGACATGAATAGTAAAATTGTGTTCCCAAGTGAAGAAGTCATCACACCGTTGATGAAATTCCTGCGTTCCGGGACGACAAATCAGAAAGCGAATGCTGCAGCAGCTCTACGGAAACTCGCGAGCAGTGACGAAGACAATTGTCAAGTGATCGTTCGCGACGGAGCTGTGCCACTTCTGGAAAGACTTGTGGAAACGGGTGACGATACTTAAAAGCAGTCGGGACTGGCAGCGCTGGAGAAACTTAGCCCCTACTTGGTGTCAAATGTTCTTCCGGACGTAGGAGGATTCCTTCGCAGTGTTGCTGTGAGTTTGGTAGCAATGTAAATTACTGTAACATGTAATAATACGAAGTATGTTAATACTTAAAATAAATGAGCTTGGCATTATGATCAATATTTGAGATTTGCAGCAAGATCAAATAGTCCCGCTGATATTGAGAGAAGTACTAAAACACGTAGTAGCATTTTCTTGCAGGGAAAAATATTAGCAGTACTAATACTATTTAATGATAGTTTGTCGAGTAGTATTTCCAAGCTGACTCTGCTTTCTCATCAGCAGGGTCACGTTCAGGCTGGTGTGCGTCGGTATACGACTTCACCAGTCTGTGGAAGAGCGGAGAGACTCTGTCGCGCACAGTTCCCAACGTATTGAGAGCAGCAGCCACATTCGCGTTCTGAGAGGTGACCCCCGCGCGTAAATAGCCCATCAACGGACTCATGTATCCGTCGATATTCGCGTCCTCGTCCTTCTTCGAGACGAGATGTTTGAGTGCATGAGCGGCTAGCTCCTTTTCCTCCTCTGAACCTTCCTCCACAAGCTCAGCAAGTGCTGCAATCGCACCTTCTTCCACAATCGCCACACGGTTCGCGTCGTTCTCATAGGCCACACAACGTAGTGCAAAAGCAGCCCATTGCTTCTGGTCTTCATTGCCACTTTTCAGGAGTTGTACCAGCGGTGGGATCGCTCCTTTGCGTCCGATCTCAGCGCGTCTATCAATGTTATTGGCTGCGAGGTTCCCCAAGGTGTACGCGGCGTCTTCCTTCTGGGTATCCGACCCCGATCGCACAAGCTCCACGAGCGGCAAGATGGCTTCATCGACATCCATCGCCACGTCATTATCACACGCCAAGTTCCCCAACGCAAACGCAGCTCGTTGCTTCTGCATCTCCGTTCCACTTCGGAGCAGCTCAATCAGCGGCGTGACGGCTCCTTCTCGCGTGATTTCTACTCGGTTCTCGTCGTTATGAGCCAGATTCCCCAGAGTGTACGCACTCCACTGCTTCTGCGCTTGCGTTCCAGTCCGCAGCAGCTCAACCAGAGGAGGGACAGCGCCTTCCTGAGCGATCAACACGCGGTTCTCCTCGTTACTAAGCGACAGAAACCCCAGAGCGTAGACGGCCCATTGGGTCTGCGCATCCGTCGCGGCTCTCACAAACGCCACCAGGGGGGGAATGGCTCCTTCGCGAGCGATTTTTGCTCGATTCACCGCGTTGTTTGCAGCCAGAGTTCCCAGCGCGTAAGTGGCTTCCTGCTTGTGCATATCCGACTCGGAACGCAACAGTGTAACCAGCGGTGGGATGGCTCCTTCACGTGCAATTGCCACGCAGTTGTCGTCGCTGTTACTAGCGAGAGTCACGATAGCTTCAGCCACCCAGAGTTGCTGGTTTGAAGTGCCCTCAGAGAGGAGAGGAGTCAGTAGAGGCAACAGTCCGACGCGACGTAGCATGTCTCCGTCTCCGCGTGTAGCGAGGCAGGAGCATTGCAGTGCTGCGACCTCTTTCGCTTGTTCGTCCCCGTGCTGTAGTTCGTCCAGCATCGAGAGGATTTCCGAGTGTGTCGGCTCTCGAACGCAGCGCTGCAGCTCTGTGAATGTTGATTCGCTCATCTTGGAGTGGGAGAAGGTGAACCAGCTCAGACAGTGCAGAGCGTAGAGTTGAGTGAAAAAGTTGTTGCTGGTGCGCGCCAAGTCCGAGAGGACGGGAATCCCCTGCGCTCTGTACACTTGGACGCGCTTGCGGTTGGTGACGCACATGCGCATGAGACGTAGTAGAGCTCGTTCCTTCTGCTGCTCTGTCGATGGGTCAAATCCCAGTAGTCGAATGAGTTGTGGAACAGAGGAATAATCAAGAGGAGAAGATGTTGACGGTGGAGGTTAATCGCCGTTTTCTATCGATGTTTGCTCCAGGTCGGTCGGTCTCTTGTTCTCCGAGTCACTTGTCTGCTTTAATCTAGTCAATTCAACTTTTTCAACGGCCAACACCGTCGCACCAATCACAACATTGGCAAGGCTTGGGTCCAACTCAGCAGCCTCGACGTATTTCTCTCCATCTGTAGCCGTCTGCTTGTCCGTAGGCTCGTTTGATACCGCCTTGTCATCCAGCACGGTACATGTGCCTGCTAGGCTTGTCTTCGTTTCAACCGCTAGTTTCTCCTCAGCCACGCTCTCTTTTAACGCCAGTTTTTCGTCGACCGACGCCTGCGTGCATTTCTTCTTCATGGGCGCTTGACGAGTCAAAACCTTAGCATCACGCTCCCTAATGGTAGCACGTCTAGCGAATGTAGGACCCCGCTCAACTATCGCCGTCTTGTTGACCATTTCGAGCTGCTGCTTGTCTGCGAGGAGGGCAGCGTGGATTTGGTCGTGACTGAGCTTGATGTCGCCGTGCATGTCTTCAAGCTTAGCGAAGAATTCCGCCGCGTTACTGGAAGCGGCGGCTTGTTCGTTCATCACCGTCACAGTCGCGGCGAGGTTGAGCGTTCGGAAGAGTTGGTCGATTTCCGAAGCGATTTTCTGTCGCTTCTCCATTTTCACATGTTTGAGCATTCGGACGACTCGATGCATGTCGTGGTATTTTTGCAGGTACTTTGAGAACGAGGCCACCGCATCTGCGAACTTCTCGACAGCTTTGGTGCGTTGCAACGTCGGGTTGGCTTGGAGAGGTCCCGACGGCTGGAGCTCGACGTAGATCTCCATCATGCGCAGATACATCTTCCGGTTCTCGTGGCGCTGGCGACGAATCGCATCGCGCAACTCAAAGATCTGGCGGAGACCGTCAATGATTGTGAGCGCGAGGTCCATGGCAGCTTGAAGGCGTCAGAGGGTATTTCTTGAGACTTTCGTCGCGGATTTCAGAGTGAACCGGCGGAGAGCAAGGAAGAATGACGCCGATCAGCTTGGTGGGTTGTCATGGTCCATGCCATGGACTCCATGGATCGCAGAGAGGCATCGAGTTGATGCTCAACTGCTGCCTGCCCCGTCCGACGGACGAGTGATTTTTGAAAGGCCCCCAATCGTCATGTGACCGCTATTCTGTAGAATTTTTCTAAATTAAGTCTTAGGTTGAGAGTCTTCCACCCTGTTTGAGGCTCAACTTGAGGGTGGATAGCCTCTTGAACACTGAGGTCCGTCACTTTTACTTTGGACGATGCTACAGTCCAAGTTTCAGGTATAGAAATAATCCAAGTATTTAACCAAGTATTGTCCATAAATTACCGATCTGGTAAATTAAAATTCATATTGAGATGAAGTGATTCGGATCGATCCTGAAGCGAATGTCTTTGCCTCGATAGTGAGAAATAACGACTAATCCATGTTCGATCCATGTACCGTTCCATGTATTGTACAGGTAAACATAGTGCACACAAGTACGGGTAGACATAGTGCACACAGGTACGGGTAGACATAGTGCACACAGGTACGGGTAGACATAGATCAGATTGATAGAGTAAAAACGAATTCGATTGAGTGAGTTAGTTTGAAATGCCACCCTTTAGCAGGAATTGTAGGATACGGAACCGCAGTAGCGTGAGACCAGTCTGGGTCAAGTCCAACAAGATACTTTTGTCGACGTAACGCCAAAACCTGAGCATGACGTAGAAGCCACAGTTATGACCGTCTGTTTGGATTGGCGAGTTGATAGCCAGTACCTAGTAGGCATCGCTCAGCGTTTCGGCCAAATCCCACGACATTCGGTCCAGTACGCTGTTGTAAGACTTTTGGTTCATGGGGTCGTAGTACATTACTTGGTTTCCCTTGACGTCCACAATGATACCACACCAGTGTGTGTTCCCGAAGTTGACTGGGATGAACAGAGTCTCGGCACAACTCTTCAGCATTTGTGCCTTTGCCTTGATCGTTTCTGTAAATGTCTTCATTTTCCTTCCCGTCACAGCATTCTCGATCCCAACTACATAAGCCGTTGAATTAGTTGCACAAAGTCTGGCGCAGAATGCATGAATCAGGGCGTCATTTGCCCAGGAAGGGGGATTCATACGGAATAGCATGGCGTAGTGATATTCATGACCTTCAATTTGGATGATGTCTTGGGGATTTGAGCGCGCAACTTGATCTGTCATCTCCTGTAGCGTGTGGGTAGTGCACTTCCTACAACACTGACGACATCGTCCATCAGCCACTTGCAGAATGCGAGCCCTTGCTCGCATTGATTCTTCATGGTAGTCAGGTAAAGCATCGCTTCTATCTGTGCTCGTGAGAAGATACCAATTCCAGTGATTTCCACACATTCAATATCTGGGGTATGTCCAGGATTATCCCTGTTTTGTCCAGGATTATCCATGCTTTGTCCAGATGTGTGTTCTCCAAGTTCCTTATCTTGTGTTGACTGGCTGTCTTGTGTAGACTGACTCTGAGAGAAGACCGAAATCGCAGTATCAGGCGTATTCTTCACAGGCAACGCGGAGACGCACTTCTGCAGCAATTTCATCGGGAGGAGGTAAAACGCAGTTTCATTGAGTATTGGTACGCTGAGGCGAACGTATTTGGGCTTCTTGTTGACCGCTCGCTCGAACTTGATTGGAATTGGCTGCACACGAATCAGGAACTCCTGCATACACGGCTTTTCTTCCTGTAGATTGCACGCCAGCTGGACCAGAGAGACCTCGCCCATGCGGCGACGATGGGCTTCCGATTCGTTGAATATGACCCGCTTCTTCTTGTCTCATGCTCATTACTCCGGAGTGACCCGCGTCAGTCTCATCCACCGTAACAACGTTACCATCTTGTGCGGCAAATACAGCGAGAGCCTGCGCTACAGCATCGTCATCGTCAATCCCACCACGACCCTCGCTCTTAAAACGCTGGACCAAGTTGTCCACGTCTTTCTTAACCAAGTGCTCTCCTCTCGCGAGAAGATACTCGTAGATGCGGGCGCGTTTGCGTCCATGATTAACCATAGTAATGACAGCGTCCTTTGTGTCCGCACAACCAACCTTTCGATTCTCTGCGTACGTCAAGAAATGCTCGGTGGCTACTGCGTGGTTGTGCTGGTAAAGGCCATTCTGTACTCGAAGCACCCACACACACCCCTCCTCCACCATTTGGACCACGAAACGAAACTTGCACCCTGTCGCGCGGACGAAGTGCTTGGGGCGCTTACCGGTTGTTCGAATCTTCGCAGGCCAGCCATGAGTGCAGATGTATGTACGCATGTACATGATTCAGTCCTCAGGCACGTATGGAACGTCTAAACCTTTCTTGGCGGCCACAGTATTCGCCAGACGCTTGTTCCTTAAAACGCAACTTAGTGTTCCGAAGACCCGGATAATCTGACGCGTCTGCAAGGCATAATCCTTCAGGTACGCTGTCCACGCAGCCCAACTTGGATATGGAGAGTCAACCGGACCAGGCACAACCACGGGTGTCTTTAGTTCCTGGATAATACTTGGATGATTCTCATTGTCCATGTTTTCAGAAGCCTCGCAAGAAGACTCCATGCCAGATACTACGTGGCGGCAAGCCGTCGAGGGCACGCCTGACGACTCACCAGAGGACTAACGATACGCAATACACGCAAGTATAACACAGTGTTAATCCCGTAAAATAAGTGGAGTTGCATGTACACGCACCTTAGACGCAGACGCAGATGAAGCGGGTGGTTCGGACTGCATGGGCAGCGATGGCAGCGTTTGCAAGGGGGGGGGGCGCTGATACGTCAGGAGGTGTTCGAGACGAGCAGGGGTGAAGATGGAGCGAGCGACAGGAGCTACGGGAACGCCACAGACTAGAAACCTAAAAAAACTAAAATGAAAGGCAGGCGTGGAGCGATACAATACGTGACGGTATTTTATAAAATACGAGGCTGTAAATTACAACATGGACAATACTTGGTTTAATACTTGGTTTATTTCTACACCTGAAACTGGGACTGTAGCATTTACGTTTTACTTTTTATAGGTGAACAACTTAGCACCTCGTGTATTATTTTGCAGTCAGGGGACAGAGCTCTGAAAAACTTGGTTAGACATAGATACATCACTCTGCGTCGGAAAGGATCACAAGGGAATCGGATGAAAAATCTAAGTCGATCCGTGCTTGTTTTAGTAAATTTTCATCTGCAGCCAGATTTTTTGGGGCATTTGGTTGGCTGAAAGCCATTCAATTCACTATTCTACACCAAGCGTGATGGACACCAAACGCCCATGTGAGCCCAAAATAGGGAGCTGGAGTCGTTTCGTCACTCTTTGCTTCCAGTCCGTTTCGATCGTAGGGCGTCCCTAGCGCTGGCAACAAGCAACATCGAGCATGGCGGACGACAAAGCATCGGAAGAGAGCAAGGATGTTCCCTTAACGTAAGTCTCTCAACGGATACGTAGCTATGGTATCACTTTACGTTCTAATCAACAATTCAGTCCTCGTGTCATGAAAGCCCCACCCAAAATGGCTCCTCCCACAACTGCCCCCGCAGATGCAAAGGTGACGAAAGAGTTCCCACTTTAAACTGTGCAATGACGTCTGCTAAAGCTGATACGTGGATGTACAGGGGGCTCCAGGAGGAGATCCAACAGCAAAGAAAAAAGCTTTACCACCTCCATCGAACCCTCCTCCAAAAGCTGGGGGCTCTGCAGCGGCCGCATTTCGATCAAAGTCGTCCTTACCACCACCTAATGGGCCTCCTCCGGGTGCAGGGGCTCCAAGTGCATCCGTCGCAAAGATCCGAGGAGCTGCCCGTCCGCCTTCGGGTGGTCCACCACCGAGTGGAGCTCCAGCGAAACCAATGGGTCCACCGTCTTCCTCTCCACCGACGATGGCTCCTCCAGCAAAGCCCCATCCAACCGGAGCTCAACCGTCTTCAGCACCGCCTAAAGCACAGGCAAAACCGGCTACCACCCCACGCGATCCAAGCGACGAAAGCAAAGGAGACTTGAAACCTGCTCCTACCGGTCCGCCGAAGCCAAAACCCGAAGCCAAACGGTCCCCTCCAACGACAGTTAGGGGTCCCCCAGAAGCGAAAAGTACTCCAAGGGCTCTCCCAGTTGATATTCTTGGGGATGACTCACCGGTGATTGCAGAGCAGTCGACCAAAGCTGCTCCTGCTAAGCCCCCCAAGCCTGTGACTCAACCTCAACGTCCTCCATCAGCCACTCCAGTGAAGACGCCTTCAGTAGATACACCATCCATCGTGAAGCCCCCTGTGGTCATGAAGAGCACGATGGAAGTGCTGAACGACACAACCGCAGCCTTGTCAGTACGTAGTCGAGCGTCTGAAGAGGAGACGGAACCAACTTCTTCTTCAATCAAAGAGAAGGAGAACACTGGTGTTTTCACGACCAAAATGGGGAAAGCTGCGCAGTTCAGCGGCCAAGCGCGACTCAACGTCCCTGAAGAAGAAGTTATCGTCGTGAAGAAACGAGAAAGCAAACCCACGGAAGCTGAGGCGAAGGCTGACGTTAGTATAAAGTCAAATGGCTCTCGACTCATAGCAAACATCGACGATTCGTTCGACGACGTCGAAGAGATCCCGTTCCTAGAAGATGGCAAGTCGGACGCTAAAGCGAAGGAAGACAAGGAAGAGAAGCCAGTCGAGCATAAAGACGACCCTGATGTCGTCATGGAGAGCAAGCGTGGTCCTCCTGTAAGTTGCTCCTCCAGTGCACACGACGAGGCTAGAAGTGAACGTAAAGAAAGCGAAGAGAAGGAAGACAGCGAGGCGGTTTTACGCAGGAACGCTACGCATGAGGACGTCTACGACGAGCTACGCAAGATGAAGCGCGGATCTCGCTCCCCTCGAGACGAGGAACGCATCATAAGCGACCACGAGGAGCGGGAACAACGGGATGAGTCTCGCTCCTCTTCTTTTGATAGGAGGGAGAAGCTCAGCTCCAACGGTGACGAAGAACGAGAAAATAGAGACCGCGACCAAGACCGACACCGAGACCGGGACCGGGAGCGTGACAGAGAGAAATCGCGTGAGAGACGCAAGGAGAAGCGTCGTAACAAACACGACGAGCCCAAGAAAATCCAAGCCCAGGTACGGTCTCTCCAATTTAATAGTGAAGCTTCTGTGCTCACCTTATCTGCTGTGTGTAGTTTTTCAACCCCAAAAGCGTGCCGTACATTCCTGATCACCTGTTAGAGTTCGTCAAGCGTCCACTCGAGTGTGGTCGTGGACAGATTGTCAAGTGCTTCATTGAGAGGAACGACAGTGGACCGAATAAACTCGCTCCTATCTACACGTTGCTTTTGGAAGTCAACAGCTCTAGTGGACGTCCGATCATGTACGCGAGGAAGAAAGCCACCAGCCGCATCACGTCGCACTACGTCATCTCCATGAACAAGTTCGTCCAGTTTTGCTGTATTTTGTCGGAGCCAAAAGCTAACTTTTTTAATTTTGCTTTTTCATTAACAGAGATGACTTGTTTTTGTCTCGAATGATGCGGAGTCACCAGTATATTGGCAAGCTACGGTCGTCTACGAGTATGATGGAGTATTGTCTGTACGACCAAGGAGACAACCCAGAGGACTTGGACTCGGACTGTGAAGTTGACGACGAAGTCAGACAAAGTATCCGAGCGGAACTCGCTGTGATTCGATATCATTACTCCAAGAAGGTATTTTTCTTTAAAAAAAGCTTTTTTGTCTGTGAAAGCTAACACATTGTTCAATGTAGCCATACCCGCGGAAAATGGAGGTGGTGATCCCTGCGGTTCAAGAAAATGGTCAGAGTTACTTGGAGTGGCGGCCACTTTCCCGTGATCAAATGATGGATGAACATGTCCGCAACATCGCGGCAGCTGTACGTTGGCCCTCTTTGTTGATGTCGTGGAAGTCTCATAAAGTTTCTTATAAATAATTACAACAGGGCGGACAGAACGTCATGGACGCCTCCAACTTCGTCTTCCTGCACAAACGCGAGACCAAGTACGACCCTCTCTCGTCCTGTATCGTGGACTTCCGCAGTCGCGCGACTTGTGTATCCGTCAAGAACTTTCAACTTGTACACTCGGAGCCTACGAACGGGCAAATGCGAGAGCAGTACCGCAAGACTTTCCCGGATTTCGTGTACGACGACCAAGGCACCGTGTCCCTCCCTCAAGAATACGTGCTACTTCAACTCGGCAAGGTCGGCAAAGACTGCTTTAACATGGACTTCCAGTACCCATTGTCCATGCTGCAAGCCTTCGCTATCAGCCTCAGTCGATTCGACACCAAACAGCGATAAACTCTGAGAGAATTAAACGTTAAAACTACATTGTGAATCATGAATTTCTAAACGAACTGCGATTTTCTAAGCTCATTTGCGGCTTTTCAAGATCCATCACGTGCGACTTTTCACTAAGCTTCCTCTGGAGCATTCGAGCACTGCTATCGAAGCTGTAGGTCGACGATCTGGAATCGCTAAACCATGCGCAGTGTGTTGGCGTGGAGTGACAAAGTGCCTGAGCGCAATGGCGAGAAATTTGTGGTTCAGGATTTGGCATTTCGACCTGACGGGAGTCAAGTTGTGGCTGCTGTGGGCACACGCGTGCTGGTGTACGACGCTGTTGATGGCACCTTGCTGCACTCGCTAAAAGGTCACAAGGGGACAGTGTATTCGGTGGACTATTCGCACGACGGCAAACGCTTTGCGTCCGGTGGCGCGGACAACATCGTCATCATCTGGACCGACAAGGCCGAAGGAATCCTCAAATACACACACAACGACAGTATCCAGAAGTTGGCCTACAATCCTCAGTCTCAATGTCTTGCGAGCTGTACCGCGTCAGACTTTGGGCTCTGGGCCCCGGAGCAAAAATCGGTGGCCAAACACAAGGTCGTGGCTAAAATTCTGTCAGCTTGTTGGAGTAAAGATGGCCAGCTACTGGCACTTGGTCTGCTCAACGGCAACGTGACGCTGAGAGACAAACAAGGAGCCGAGAAGAGGCTCATCGAGAGATCGAGTGCCCCCGTGTGGGCTTTGGCATGGAGCCCGGCACTAGACGACGACTCTACCGACATCCTCGCAGTCGGGTGCTGGGACCGGTCGTTGGCCTTCTACAGTCCCAGTGGCGTCATGCAGGGCAAAGCTCGCAAACTCGCCTTCAATCCCACCAGTCTCACGTACTTCAGGTACAGAGCTCCTACCTCTAAAATTCTGTAAATGTTATTCTAATTGTGTGTTCTAATGTTGCAGTAAGGGGAAGTATCTCCTCGTTGGCGGAACCAACCGGAAGGCTGGACTCTATACCAAAGACGGTATATTCCTTGTCGGGTAGGTCCTCGTGCTACAATATTTTGCCATAAAAAATAGGATACCGGTATTGACAGTGGTTTTTTCTTATAGAATTTGTGAGCAGGAGAGCTGGGTGTGGGCTATCAAGGCTCGGCCCAAGACGAATTTTGTGGGTGTAGGCAGCGAGGACGGCACGCTGTCCGTGTACTGCCTTGTGTTTGGTACTGTACACGGCATCTACCAGGAGCGCTACGCGTACCGTGAACACCTTACCGATGTGATCGTCCAGCACTTAATGACGGAGCAAAAAGTTCGAATCAAGACCCGCGACTGCGTCAAGAAGCTCAGCGTGTATAGAGATCGTCTTGCAGTGCAACTGTCGGATCGAATCATCATCTACGAACTCGCGGGGAACAGCGCGACTAATGCCAGTTACGACATGCACTACCGAGTGAAAGAGCGCATCACCAAGGACTTGCCCTGCAGTCTGTTAGTGGTCACGAGTTTGCACTTTATCCTGTGCCAGAAGCAAAAGCTGCAGCAGTATGATTTTACGGGACGCAAAGAGCGCGAGTGGGTGTTAGAGTCGCTTATCCGCTACATCAAAGTGACGGGCGGTGCTCCTGGTCGAGAAGGTCTTCTCGTTGGGTTAAAAGACGGCTCCGTGTGGCAGATTTTCATCAATAATCCGTTCCCGATCCCTCTCATCCAGCAGAGCAGTCCCATCTCCTGTCTCGACATCAGCGCCAAGTACGTTACGGATAGAAACAAAGTTACAGTTAAGCATACGCTCTAACCGTTATCGTTATCTTTTAACAGCCGAGAAAAACTTGCTGTCGTGGATGACTCGCACAAATGTCTAGTGTACGACTTGGCCACCAAGCAGCTTCTGTTCGAAGAAGGGGCCACCAACAGTGTGGCGTGGAACACTGAGTGTGAGGACATGCTGTGTTTCGGCGGCAACGGACAGCTCAAGATCCGAGCGGGACAGTTCCCAGGCCACACGCAACGCATGCAGGGCTTCGTCGTGGGCTTCTCGGGCTCCAAAGTCTTCTCGCTCAGTGCGCTGAGTGTCCAGACGATCGACGTGCCTCAGTCTGCGCCTCTGTATCGCTACTTAGAGCAGAACGACTTCGCTCAAGCCTATGCCGTCTCGTGTTTAGGCGTCACAGCAGCCGACTGGCGTTTGTTGGCGTGGGAAGCGCTCAAGAGCATGCGCTTCTCCGTCGCTCGTAAGGCGTTCATCCGAGTGCGAGACGTTCGCTACATTGAGCTCGTGAACGCGCTAGAGCAGACGTGGAAGCAGCAGCTTCCTCAGAGTGAAGGTAGCAGCAACCAGGAGGGCGAAGATGCTGGCGGAGAAGCGGGCAAGAAGGTCAGAGCTTTGCTCCAGGCTGAGATCATGGCGCATCAGGGCAAATTCCCACTGGCTGCCAAGTTGTTTGCGGACTGCGGAGAACCCGCACGCGCCATCAAAATGTTCGCAGATCTCCGCATGTGGGACGAAGCCAAGCGCTTTGCTACCGCGCGACAAGCCGGAGATGTCCAGCAACTCGTGTTGGCACAAGCTCGGTGGGCTGAAGACGTGCAGGATTGGCGAGCTGCGGCCGAAATGTACGCTGCGAGCGGGAACTACGTCCGTGCTGGAGAGATCCTGGGCGAACACGGCTGGCTCGACCAGCTCTTGGACCTCACACGCAAACCCGAAGCTGCAGAGTCCTCGCAATTGCTCACGATCGCCGCCAGCTTTTTCTTGAAAGGAGGCCAGTTCGCGAATGCGCGTGACATGTTCTTGAAGCTGGGAGACCTCGACGCGTTGCTGCAGATGCACATCCGACTGCAGGAGTGGGAAGAGGCCGTGCGCTTGGCGGACAGACACCGAGACAGCGTGCGTCGACCGGATGAGGTCTTTGTGCCGTATGCGCAGTGGCTGGTGACGCAAGACCGCTTCGACGACGCCTTGGAGGCGTATACGCGAGCGCAGAGACCGGATCAGTGCTGCAAGTTGCTCTGCCAACTCATCGACAACGCAGTGAGAGAGCGTCGCTTCCGTGCCGCTGCGTACTATCACTGGAGACTCTGCGAGCAGCAGATGAAGACCGTATTCTCCCCACAGCAGCAAGTGGAAGACGGCAAGGAGCTGAGTGAGGAGCAACGCTATCGACTCGCAGAAGCCACGGAGAACGAGCTCTTGTCGGAGCTCTACTACGCGTACGCCATGGTCTACGCCTTCACGGACGAGCCCTTCACCACTTTACAGCCCGAGTCGCTCTTCCACGCTGCTCGCTTCCTCCTCAACAAACTGTCAGCTCGAGGCAGCAACGGCAGAGCGGGAGGAGGCAACGGCAACGCAGCAGCGACGGCGCCTCCTCCTCCTGGGATCTCGCTCAGCAACATCTACTTCACTCTCGGACACCACGCACTGCAGCTCGAGAGCTACAAACTGGCGCGACAGGCGTACGAGAAACTGCTGCAGATGCGGCTGAGACCGGACTGGCAGGCTGCTGTCGAGTGCACGGCCATGACGCTGCAGGCTCGACCGTACGCCGATCGCGAGGAGCTGCTGCCCGTGGACTACCGTTCGTCCACGGTCAACCCCCTGCTGAACCCCAACAACACTGGCGATGTCTGCGTCAACTCAGGGCATCCGTTCGTGCGCTCCTTCGTGTCGTTCGAGAATCTCCCGCTCGTGGAGTTCCAGCCAGAGGTACGAACACCCCAATCTCTCTCTCTCTCTCTCTCTCTCTCTCTCTCTCTCTTAACTTGGTCGTGGATGCACTAACCGACTTCTTCCTTGACGTGTACTTACAGCCTGGTCTCTCGGACGCCGAGGCGGAGGAACTCATCTTGATGCATCCGACCGACACGGGAGGCGCCTCCAAGCGAGCAGGCGACGGCTGGCGAGAGACCGACTACGGCAATGGCCGTCAGAGCATGAAACTCGACGACGACGAACCTCTGCGCGCCGAAGACGCGACCAAAGACGGCACGGACTTGTTCGAGCAGGCTCTCAACCGACAGGCGACGTACGGCTCCAGTGTCGGTCACCGCTCGGGGGCAGCTCACTACCGCGTGCTCCAACTGGACGCTCGCACTCTTCGCGCGCTCCGTCCGACCGAGGTCTTCATCGTCAAGTACCCGACACGCGCGCTCCGCCCCAAATACTACAAGAACATGATCCCCGAGATCAAAATCTACCTGTCGCCTCAGTGTCGGCGCTTCTTCCACGAAGAAGACTTCGAGTTCGAGTACCTCAAGGCTGGTCACTGTCCGTGTTGCCAAGTGCCGGAGCTCGCGGCGTTAAACCCACCGGCACCAGAACCCGAACTCGCTGCCAGTCCACTGAAGCTCAACAAGTGAATGAAACACAACTAGATAGGGAGAGAAAACCAGCAGTAGAGAAAGGCACAAAACTACCAGTGTACTCCAAGGGCAGCTAATATAATACCGTCGTCTCAAGCCACAAACCTCTAAGCCTGAGAGAGCGAAGTGCCCGATCGAGGCGTCCGACCGAAGAAAGGAGAGCGCAGCAATGTGCCGTCCTCGATCTGGTCCCATTGACGGCGTCGACCCGACGGCGTCATCAGTCCAGGAGCGGCAGGCGAGCGGACGACAGGCGCCAGACTGCCAGGCGTGTTGCCGCCTTCTGTCATAGCGAGCTGCAGTGATTCCCGCTCCACGCCCGTGTCGCTGTCACTCGTGGCCTCCATGTTCTTCACCGCTCGCTCCGCCATCTCCGTCCAGTTTGTGCGTGACAGAACGAACGAGAAAATGGCGAGTTTCAGCACCTCCATCGTGCACACGCCGTACCAGAGTGCAGAGAAGCCCAAGCCCATGGTGACGCCGCCAACGTACGCGATCGGGAGCTCAACGCACCACACACTAAGCGAACTGACCCACGCAGTCACCGCCACTTCGCCCATAGCCGCCAACACCGACGACGTGAGGATCTCCAGCGACTCGATCATGTAGCCAGTGATGAAGATCGGCTGGACCAGCATACACAACTGCAGCAGCGTGTCATCGTTCGTGTACAGACGGAAGAGCATTTCTCGCAGCATCAGCGTCACGATGGCTAGCGCCACAACTGTACCGACAGTACACAGGAAGCCCAGGAAGCCCAGCACACGCGCAGCCTTGGGACGCCCAGCGCCGAGATAGTTGGCCACACGGATCTGCGTAGCTGAGCCGTAGCCCCAGAAGAGCGCCCACAGCAGCGACCAGAGACCGGAGATCACGGCGTTGGCAGCGATAACATCCGATCCGAGCTTCGCCGCGACTAACGTCAAGGCGGAATTGGCCAGATTGGACACCATACTGTTGGCCGCGACAGGTCCAGCGATGTTCAAGAAGATCTTGAGTCGGTCGGGAGTGAAAGCACCCGTATCCCAGCCTCCCCAGGCCTGTAAGTGCATCTTCTTATAGAAAATGCAATAGGAAATGAGAGAAATGGGTTGGAACCAGGCCGCGATGACTGTGGCCATGGGCGAGCCGTCAAAGCCCAGTCCACCCCAGCCAAAGGCGCCGAAGATGAGCACGTAGTTGGCCGCGCACGCCATGCCGATAGACAGCGTGCCGACGACTGTGACAGGAGACATGATGCCCATTGACTGGAAGTACAGACGCACACAGGCGTAGACTAGCGACGGCCAGATGCTCAGCGACAGGATGCGGGCGAAGCGCACGCCCAGCTGCACCACTTCCGCGTCATCTGTAGACAGCTGCAGCACGTATCCGATACTCCAATACCAGATAAACACAGGTATGGACAGCACAGAGACCACGACGAGGCCGATCTGCAGCCAAACGCCGCTCAACTCGCCGTTCTTAGCGCCCCAAGCCTGTCCGCACAGCGTAATGAGGGCTGTTGCGCCGGACCACACGCCGGCGAGCGGTACGTTCGTCCACGTGGATGCCAGCGACGCAGCTGCAAGCGACGATGTGCCCAGATGCCCCAGGAACGCGCTGTCCACCGAGATGAGCGCGATACGAGCGAAAGTCGAGAGCGACACCTGCAGCGCCATCCAGGTGAGCCCCCAGAACTCCTCGGCCACGTCCACGTCCGCCTCTTTTGCCAGCCCGCGCTGACTACGGCTGCGACCTTTCTCGCCGTTCAGCAGCGGCGACGACTCGGCCATAGATTTCCTTGGGTGTCTTTCACTTGAGCGAGGCAAATTGTGGAATGAGCAGCAGCACACACATCATGCAGAGACCACCACTCGTGTCCTTACAAAATACAAGTCACATTGGGACCGTTGTCATGCACATCAATCTTCGAACAAAGCCGGGGAGTCAATCGGTGATTCCTTTTACATACTGTATACGGCTGTATACAGGTATAATACAGTGCAGCTACTGTACTTCGTAGAAATGAACTATCAAATAGAAGTCCCCTTTAATTAAATGGATGGTACTGGTTTTGATATCAGTGCGAAACTTTTAAGTACATGTACAGGGGTTAATAGCAAATGGTGATATACCTGATACCATGGATACCGTATCCGCATGATACTCGTATCAGTATCACGTGATACCGCTCGATCATTGGGATCAAGATCACTGATCCTTCTCCACAAATATATTGATCTTTGACGATACTATACTCACGTATCCAGTCAGTTTCTGGTTTTGTATTTAGATCTGCAACCCCCGACAGCTTACAACAAAGACGCCGCAAACGATGGCAGAAAACCCCACAGGAACGACGCAGACTGCCTCAGCAACGGCACAGACGGATGAAGAGGGTGTGGACGAGCATGGTAT